CGGGACTCTTTTGTTACCCGAGCAAAGAGACTCCTGCCGAGACGAGATCGACCACATTGGCAAGCTGCTGGACCCACGGAAACAGAGTTGATGTACTTGTGCAACTGAGTGTTAAGTACATGTACTGGGGGACATAATCAGTGTTGACACAGGAACACACTAGGTTACAACAAAGGATTTTGGGATTAACCATGGCATGGTTTAACAGATCCTGTTCTAACATCCTCAGTTGATCGTGCTGAAGGCGTCGATGTATTTAAAAGGAGACTCGATCTTGCTTTACTTACTGGTCATACATTAGGTAGACAACAACGATAAGTTCGCGAAAAGCACACATGCAAATGCTTATTCTATGTAAATGTATTATACCCGAGTTTGCTTTTTCGGCGCCAACTCATATCGTAGTCAGGAGGAGAGAATTATTAGCTGAATACAAGGGTAGTGGTCAAGTCTGAGGCACAAGAATAATCTCTGACCAGTGGATACATGTCAAAAACATAAGTGAAGTAAAACGAATTAATGGAAATCGAACTACCACAACGAAAGACTGAGAAGTAGTGCTGCCTGTTTCAGAACCGATGAAACTAAGTAAAACATACTATCGTTCTTCAGCCGATTGAAACTGAGTGTTCATATCTGGCCGCATACGCGATACTTTGGCAGTAAAAATGTTGCAGCCTGGGTGCAAAGACCTGAAAAATTGAACCCGAAATTCTAGCCCAATTCAAATTCGGGTGATATTGCATAACGAATCTATGGCCGTCCTGGGATTGGCGCCACTATCACTGATTCATTGTACGTTTGCCCGTCAAGCTTGCATTTGCGATGACTGTCCATCGCACGCTCATTGATAAACCATCCCCACTGTCTGCCTTTCGGTCGGGTCGGTGCCTTGCGTCTTAGCCCTTTGGCCTTACGACTTTTACGCTGACCACTGTGCACCTTTTCCTAGCTGGCTGAGGCAACCAAGGACTAGGCAGACTTGCCTCAAATCCTGCGCGCAGCGGCGCACACACAAAGAAAAATGTTCCCGAATGAATGAGAAGGTTCGCGATCCAGGTAATTGTATGAACGAGGAAGAAGGCATATCGAGCACCAGATCAATTGATTTATTGTTGTGAGCTTTCGAACT